GGTGATGAGGCTCCATTCGGTTCAGGTGTGCCCCATCACACGCCGCCAGCCCTGGCTATTTCAGCGCCCCTGCTCTCTCACGCACCCACTCATGTCGGGAGCCTGGCAAAGGGCAGCGATTAAGGAACGGGATGATGCTGATAATTAGGGGGAGGCAGCCGACTCATCACAGTCTGTTGATATCCAGCCGAAGAGCAATCAACCATAACTTCAGGTGAGCAGGCTCAGAAGTCAGTTTGAACAATCCGGATAAGCGCAAGTAAGTACCATTTTGATTAGCCGTCGTACCTACAATGTTTGTGCACTGTGTAAACAATGAGTGATGTATACGCGCGAGAGATCACTTGCGGCGCTTGCGTAAACTCATAAACTACGCCAGAGCGCGTACACATCTCACGCACCGGAAGCCGTGCGTGTGCTCAAAGCAGTTGGACATAGTGGTGTATTAGAGGTAAAAAAAATTATATAAATACTGTTCGGTTTCTGGCACAAACTGATCGTTTTGTGTCTTAGGACATCAATGTGTCGTCACGAGCCGCAGGGTTTAATTTGGATTTGTATGTGCATGTTTTTTTTACACTCATAGACATTGTTACCATTGCCATCCATTATACGACTGATCGACTGCAACGGTTGGACTTAAAAATCATCAAATGTGTTCTACTGAAGAAACAAAGTCACCTACATCTTGGATGCCCTGGGGGTAAGCAGATAAACATCAAATTTTCATTTTTGGGTGAACTATCCCTTTAACTCAGTACTTTTTTGAAGCACCTTTTACAGCCTTAAGTCTTTTTGGGTATGATGCAACAAGCTTTGCACATCTGCATTTGGCAATTATCTGCCATTCTTCTCCTCACCTCTTCACCTCTCAAGCTCTGTCAGGTTGGATGGGGGCTGACAGACATTTTCAGGTTTCTCCAGAAATATTGGATTGAGTTCAATCCCAGGCTGGGCCACTCAGGGACATTCACAGAGTTGTCTATAAGCCACTCTTGCTGTGTGCTTAGGGTCATTGTCCTGTTGGAAGGTGAACCTTCTGCCCAGTCTGAGGATCTGAATGCTCTGGACTAGGTTTTCATTAAGGTTATCTCAATATTTTGGTGCACCGAGCTTCGGTCCCTGCCGCTGAAAAACAGCCCCACAGCATGAGGCTGCTACCAGCACACTTTACTTTTGGGATGGTACTCTGCAGGTGATGAGCGGAGTTGGTTTCCTTCAAACATGATGCTTAGAATTGAGGTTCATCAGATCAGAGAATCTTGTTTCTCACAGTCTGAGGGTCCTTTAGGTGCTTTTTTTGCATATTCCAAGTGTTTTCATGTGTCTTCACTGAGGAGAGGATTGAGTTTGGCCACACCACCATAAAGCCCAGATCGGTGGAGTGTCGCAGTGATGTTTATCCTTCTGTAGGTCTCTTCAGTCTGTATATATGATGATGGAGCTCAACTAGACCATCAGCTTCTTGGTCACCAGTATAACCAAGCCACTTCTCCATCAATTGCTCATTTTGGCCAGGAGGCTAGCTCTAGGAAGAGTCCTAGTTGTTCCAAGCGTCTTCCATTAAGGATAAAGGAGGCTACATGATTCTGTGAACCTTCAATGCAGCAGAATTTTTTCTGAACTCTTCCCCAGATGTGTGGCTTAACACAAACTTGTTTCTGAGCGCTACAGGCAGTTATTTTGACCTCAGGGCTTGGTTTTTGCTCTGATATGCATTATCAGCTGCTAGACCTTTTTTAAGACGTGTGTGCCATTCCAAATCATACTCATTCAAATGAATTTGCTACAGTTTAACTCCACTCAAAGTGTAGTAACATCTACAAGTGATATGAGTGCTCCTGAGCTAAATTTCAAGTGTCCCAGAAAATGAATACCTATGCAATGAAATCATTTCAATTTTTTTTGCTTCTAATAAATTTGCAAAGATGTTACAAATCTGTTTTGTGCTTTGTCATTATGGTGTATGGAGTGTAGATTTATGTGGGAAAACAAAAGTAATTTAAAGCAGTTTAACATAAGACTGCAAAATAACAAAACGTGAAAAAAATGAAGGGGTATGAATACTTTCGCAAGGCAATGTATATCTGGAACATCAAAGTTTTTCTAAAGGAATTGGATGGAGAAGATTATAAGAGTTACTCATACCTGTGTGTGGTCTTTTATACCTTGCTCTATGAGACAGTCCCTCAAGAAATTCAGTACTCTGCTCTATATTTTTATGGCAGTGGGTTCTGGTTCACATACACACTTATGACTCTTGATTTTAATCAGATGCATTTGGAAAAGACAGACTCTTTTAAATATTAATTTTCTAGACTTTGCCAAGGAGTTTCTGCATAACACTTTAAGCCATTATATTATCTTGAAAACTTTTCAAAGCGTTGGATTATTTTCAACATTGATGAAGTTGTAACCTAGTTTCTGTCACCGGGATGGTGTTCCATCAGCACTGGGGTTTTCCATGTGAGCCAGAGGACATATTATCTCTCGTTCACATCCCCCCTTTTCTTTCTCTCTCTTACCTCACATCCCGTGATTTGTTGGAGGGCTTAATCCAGGATCTTAAATGAAACCTTGAGGGTCTCTATGGGATCAATTTGAAGGGATTTCTCCTCCCTGTTCTCTGTTGTTACTCTTTCTTCCTTGGTTTCTCCGATTCTGTCTTAATTTTTTCTTTTGGCTGAATGCAGCGTGTTTGGAGCCAGATGTATTCGGGTGTCAGTTTGATCTGTTGGTGAAATGCTCTCTGGTGGTTGGCCAATCACTCTTGGCTTTAATCGGGCAATCAGTTGGGGGTCTCTGTTCGCAGGTCCAGTCTACCACTTCCTGGGAGCAGTTAAATAGTAAACGTCTCTGTAGGTGAAAAAATATGATCAAGATAGCCTCGAAAACTGGATTTGACTTTTGCATTTAAGGTAGGGCTGGACGATATGGCCAAAATTTATATCTGACTATATTTCTTAATTTCGGTCGATACAATATAATTCCGATATCGATATGAACACAATTTTAAAAAGCCTCGTAAAAACTGCCAAGAACGCCCACAACAGATGTCTGTGCATACAAACTTATGAAAAATGAATTTGCCAAGTCTATGACACCTCATATAAAACTATATAATATAAAAAAAACAGCACAAATAAATTAATGTTCACATTTTATTTGTATTTAGCCTTCATTCAAACAAGAAATGTGAAATCACTGTCAAATAATCATCTCAGACTCACCTAATTAATATTAATATCTTTAACTTCAAACTATAGGCTAACAATACACTACAAGTTTTTGATAAGATTTTTAATGTTTTCAAAGAATTCTCTTCTGCTCACCAAGCCTGCATTTATTTGAACCAAAATACAGCAAAAACAGTAACATTTTGAAATATTTTTACGATTTAAAATAACTGTTTTCTATTTGAAAATATTAAAAAATTTAATTTATTCCTGATTTCAAAGCTATATTTTTAAGCATCATTACTCAAGTCACATGATCCTTCAGAAATCATTCTAATATTCTGATTTGCTGCTCAAAAAGCATTTATTATTATGTTGAAAACAGCTGATTATAATTTTTTCAGGTTTCTTTGATGAATAGAAAGTTCAGAAGAACAGCATTTATCTGAAATAGAAATCTTTTGTAACATTATAAATGTCTTTATCATCACTTTTGATCAATTTAAAGCATCCTTGCTAAATGTATTAATTTCTATAATTTCTTACCAAAAAAGAAATCATACTGACTCCAAGCTTTTGAATGGAATAGTGTATAATGTTACAAAAGCTTTT